CACCCCAGTTTCTATACTTGCTACTTCATCCACATTTGTGGTTTATCTTCTGCTCTGACCTCAGTTTCTGGGTGTCCCAACTTTGGATGCACATGGCCTATCCCAATGAAAGCTCAGCCCACAGCTGGCATTGTAGCTTCCCTCAGTTGTTCTCAAAGCTAAAGCAGGGGTGTCCAATCTTTTGGCTTCCCTGGGCCACACTGGAAGAATTGTCTTAAGCCACACATAAAATGCACTAACGATAGCTGATGAGCTGAAAAACACAAATTGCCCCTCAAAAATCTCATAATGTTTTAGGAAAGCTTACAAATTTGTGTTGGCCACATTCAAATCTGTCCTGGGCTGCATGTGGCCCTCGGGCCAAGGGTTGGACAAGCTTGATCTAAAGTGTTAGCTCTGGATGCCCACCATCTTCCTCCCCTAACCCCCATCTTCTCCACTACTGAGCCATGAATAGGCCCTCAACACCTCTCACAACCTGACTGGGCTTGTTAAGACAGCTCTCCAGACTCCCTTGTGGCTGCTTCATGGCTCCTCACTTCTGCCACCAACGCCCTCCTTCTGTTCCCCACAGTTGATTGCTTTTCCCCATCCTTCATATGGGCACCATTGGACTCAATATAGATGCCACTGGAAGGCAGTCGCCATTGGAGAGAATGGCATCTCCCCGTGGTCTTCCCTTCCACATCTGCAGTCCTTGCTGTACTTTACCCAAGTCCCATACATCGACCCGCATCCCCGTCACCTCTTCTGCTCCTATCCACACTGACTTTCTCTGATAACCTTCTACACACACTCCTCTTGCGAACTCTCCAGCCTCGCCCTAACCGCTCCACTCAAAGCGCCCTTGTTACAGTCGCCAAGGACCTCCATCTGGCCACGTGCCTTGGATGCTGATCGTGCCTCTTACTTGACCCCTGATTAATATTCTCTCACAGCTCCTTATAGTTGTCTTGCCACTCCTAACACTTCACTCTCCCTGTTTCTCTGACTGTGTCTCCTTTGCTATTTCCTATCTCTAGCTTCTCTCCAGGCTGGAGTTCCTCATGAAGTTTCTCCCTCGACCATTTCCCCCGGGTGACCCCACCTAACTCCATGGCATTAAAGCAGTTGATTTACCTCCAGCCCAGACCACTTCCTGAGCACCACTCCTATTTCCAGCTGCCCCAGAGAGATTAATGATTTGATGTCCCACAGACATTTCGAGGTCGACAGTTCCTACCCAAAACTCTTTGTTTCCTCCCCCCCGCAAACCTGTTACCTTCTGAGTCTTCTCTAGCTCAGTGAATGACAGTTGCCATTAATTATATCACAAGGATTTGCCAGGCATCTCCCAGCACCTTTTAGATACTCTATCCCTTGTTTAACAATCGTGATATGAGAGAATGATATCTGTCTTCAATCGATGGATAAGGAAATAGGCTTACAGGTGAAGTTACTTGCCCTGGGTCACAGTGGCAAAGCCAGGATGGGGGCCCCAGTCTTTGATTCTAATGGCCTTGCTCTTTCTACTCCACTCATGTCTTTTCAAATCCTGACTCTTGCTTAATCATTTGGAGGCAATTTTCATCCTTAGGCACCTGTAGGGTCACCATGGTGTATACTTCTAGGGGGACATTTACAATATCATCCGTGAGGATGGCGGTTCCTGGAGTTACACAGTGACAGTCATTCACATGAACGAACTAGAATGAGAGTGAGTCCCTTGAGGCAGGCAGGCTGGTGGCCGTGACTACCATCGTTCTGGTTTTCTTTGTCCCCTCCCACCCCACCTGGCTCCATTCTGTTTCTTCTCTTCTCCCTTCTTCCGCCTCACCTATTCTGCTTACCTCTGGCCAGAATTCTGTCAGAGTGTGACACAGAGATGAATCAGTTATGGTCCCTGAGCATGAGGAGTGTAGGAGTGTATCAGTCAGGGTTCTCCAGAGAAACAGAGCCAGTAAGATCAATAAATAAATACACAGGGGTCCAAAGTGGCTCCCGCCGGAGGTCATGGTGCTTGCGAAGGCGAGGTTATCAGTTCAAGGCTAACCTGAGCAACCTCATAAGCTCAAACTGATTGGCAAAAAAAAAAAAATAATAATAAATACACAGGTATGCACAACACACACACACACACACACACACACACACACACACACACACCCTATCTGTCTATCTAGGTAAATTTATTTGAAAAAAAAAGCTCATGCAATTGTGGGATCTAGGAAGCCCAAAATCCACAAGACAGGCCAGCAGGCTAGCATTTCCGGCAAGGCTGATGTTGCTTGCAGTCCTGGTCTGAAGTTGGGAAACACAGGCAGAATTTCTGTGCTGTGGTCATAAGGCCAAATCCTTCCTCTTCAGGGGACCAGAGCTTTTTCTCTTGAGGTCTTTAACTGATCGAGTAAGGCTCACCCACATTATGGAGAGCCATCTGCTTTACTTAAAGTCAGCTGATGGCCAACGTTAATCATATCAAAAAACTACCTTCACAGCAATATCTGGGTGGTTCTCCAGATGTTTAATCAGACAACTGGGCACCACAGCCTAGCCAACTCATTAACCATTACAAATAGGTCACAGTCAGTGGCAAGGACACAGATGACAGAACAGTCAGCCCACACCTTCTGCTTCCTGCCGGGCTAATGGCTACACTGTGGGATGCACAGAGAAGTGATTCAGATTTCCAGAAGGGACACATGGATAGAGGAGGCGAGCCTTGAAGGTGAGACAGAAGCAAAGGCATCCCGGGCCAATGGTGCAGCCTGCGCAGTGGAAGACAGGCCTGAGAAGCACACAGCTTAAGGAACGTGGAGGCCCAGAGGCTGGTGCACCCCCACATGCGTGCTGGGATGGGACAGGAGGGGCCGGCCCCTCAGTGCAGGGCCTCAAATGTCACAGTACAGTTTGGCCCCAGTGGTTCAGCAACCATGATTCTTGTCAGACCAGCTGAGACCAAATCAGCAGCTCAGAGTTCATCATCCTGTAAGAAATGGATATTCTTCCAGAATTGTATTTTCTGCCCTAGGAAGCAGGACATTCAAGCATTATTCTAACTCTTCCTGGCTACTTGAGACTTTAAGGGCTTAAATCTTACATTAACTTCTTTTCTTAATTTAAAGCAGTTTAAAAAACTTGTTTAGTTATAGAAGTATTTTTTCACTGCAAAATATTGGAAAACTATAGGAAAACCAAGAATAAGATAACCATTGGCTAGACTATCCTGGCCAAGCGGTACCTGCTATTAATGGTTTGCTCTGTTTCCTGCTGGTCTATTTTCTGTGTCCATAATATGCATCTGTGCTCTGCTCACCTCCACGGTGGTCCCTGCTGCTATCCCATCCCGCGCTGGGCCAGGCCTCTCACTCTCCACTCGCCCATGCACAGTCTGTTTGCTCTTCTGAAACTACCTCTTCTCCTAAAATGTAAGCTCCATGAGGGCAGGGTGAGTCTACCTTCCTCAGAACTGTATCCCCACAGCCTAGAATACGAGGCACTTAATATGTGTCAAATAAATAATGTATAAATATTATGTTTTAAGTTTAAGCAAAATGACACGTGAACATAGTTAAGAAGATATATTTTGTGAATCTATTAGTAATTGCACCTTTTTTTTTTTTTTTTCTGAGATGGAGTTTCACTCTTGTTGTCCAGGCGGGAGTGCAATGGTGCAGTCTCAGCTCACTGCAACCTCTGCCTCCCGGGTTCAAGAGATTCTCCTGCCTCAGCCTCCCCAGTAGCTGAGATTACAGGTGCGTGCCACCATGCCCGCTAATTTTTTGTATTTTTAGTAGAGACAGGGTTTTACCATGTTGCCAGGCTGGTCTCAAACTCCTGACCTCAGGTGATCCACCAGCCTCGGCCTCCCAAAGTGTTGGGATTACAGGCGTGAGCCACTGCACCCAGCATTTTTTTAAAAAGGAGTCTCACTCTGTCACCCAGGCTGGAATGCAATGATGCGATCTTGGCTGACTGCAACCTCCACCTCCCAGGTTTAAGCAACTCTCCTGCCTCAGCCTCCCGAGTAGCTGGGCTTACAGGCATATGCCACCATGCCAGGCTAATTTTTTGTATTTTAATAGAGTTGGGGTTTCACCATGTTGCCCAGGCTAGTCTTGAACTCCTGAGCTCAGGCAATCCACCTGCCTTGGCCTCCCAAAGTGCTGGGATTACAGGTGTGAGCCTGGCAATTGCATCTGTTTTTAATGTTGAATAATGTTTGTTTATATATCTTCCTTTTTCTTGTCAAGAAAGAATTTATTATGAGCATTTCCCCCTGGCATCAAATGTTCTCCTATAACATAATTTTTAAGGACTTTATAAGATTCCATCATATGAGGTACTGGAATGTATCCACATTTTTCTGCTAGGTATTTTATCCTGTTACAAATACCATCTTTCTGATATGGAAAATGCTGCAGTGAACATCCTGACCTTAAATCTTTGTGCACATTTTTATTCCTGCTTTAGAATTCATTTTTATAAGTATAGTGGTTGGGCCAAAGGGCAGAAATATTTTTATGATTCTAGAAACATATTTCCAAACTCCAGAAAAGCTATGCAATTTTCTACTTCTGTCATGCCAGTGATTCAGGGTGTGATTTTGGTAACTGTTTCCAATTTGACAGGTGAGATTGGCACTTTGTTTTAATTTGCACTGATTTTATTTTTACATCTTGGAGACAGCCAGCCTAGTGTTTTCAAAACATGCCTCATCATAAGAATTACCATATGAATGAAAATATTCCAGAAAGCAGCCTGTATTTAATAAGCAACAAGGCAAGTGTGGAAAGCCCTGCACTCAAAAATAGAGAAACTGAGGTCAGAGGAGAGCAGGGAGGTACCCAGGTCTCCAGAGTACCTGGGGTTCAATCAAGGCTGCTGAGCATCCCATCCTGGCATCCAGCCAGAGCCCTCACAGCAAACCTTTCGAAGGCTGCTCCAGGCCACCTCCCCTGACTTGCACATGTGAGACAGTAGCTGTCTAATGTCTAGTGGCTTCTTTTTCTCTTTCTCAGAAACAATAACAACAACAAAAGTTCAAAACCTGAAAAGTGAACCATGAAGCTCCATGAAAAGGACCGAGGAGAAGACAAGGAAAGTGATTCAGTGAAAAAGAAATTGGTTAGTCGTCTTTTTTTCTCTCTCTCTCTCCCTTAGATGACTATTCTGGTCACCCACCGTGTAGTTGTCCCTTCCCCTGGGTCAGGGGGAGGCTGTTAAGGTGAAGCTGAGCAGAGAAAAGATTGAGCAGCAGCTAAAAGTCAAGTTCTATGGGAAGGGGCCATGGGGATTGTAGCGTGTTTGGGGTGAGGCTCAGAAGAGTGAAATTGACAGTCCTGATCTGCTGGTGACTTTCTGGGCTTGGGGCAAACGTCTCCATTACGACAGTCATTTCTCAACAAGGGACATTGATGTTGACAATGATTATGTCATCATCCTTAAAGATACACTAAAACCCACCCCCCAATCCGTCACAAGGCTTAGTCCACCTGCCCCTTCCTCCAGGAAATCCTCAGCAGCTCTTGATAGAATGACTTTCTTCCTTCTTGGGATGCACCAGACCCTCTCTGTAAACCTGATTTAAGAACCAACAGCCAGAGAGTGCCTACTCTGTGCTGGACCTTTACATAGGGCTCCCATTTACAGAGAAACTCTTTACATGGGTCTCTCTGGATCAACCCATGGTGAAGGCATCACTAGCCCCGTTTTACAGATGATGAACTGAGGGTCAGAAAAGGCTGAAGCCACTTATCCAAGGCTATGTGGCTAGCACGGGTTTGAGCTGGTCGTAAACCTTGGACCATCTGTGCCTCGTCTCCTATGAAGGGTGTGAAGCTACTGCAACTCCAGGGAAGATGTACTTATACTTGTAACACACCTGTATCTGGTGACAGAGATCAACACAAGTCCGTTTACCAAGTTACCAGGAAAGTGTGAAATCGGCAAGCTGAACATCATTGTCTCCATAGAGGTATGAAATGGAGGATAAGGGTGTAGTCACCTGTTCGAGATCACCCAGGACCCCACACAAGGGTCATGTCAACAGACAGCAGTTCCCTCTAAGTAGACACTCTATCTTTTCTTGGTGCTTACATTAGGTGAGTCAAGGATCGACTGTCTTGGTATTTGGTGTAATGAAGGAAGGGATGTAGTCATTTCAGACATTCTGCTTCAATGATGCTCAATAGAAAATGCCCCTCCTTTTCCAACTCTTCCCTGCTAGAAAATTTCCACCTTGCCCAAGACAACTTTCTAGCCTTAGGAAATCATCTGGAGGACAGTTTCAGGTCAGTTCCAGAAGTGATGCCTAGCTACTGGAGCCCATCCCTGAGCCAGGCTGGAAGAAGGCTAGGAATACAAAGAGGCTTAGAATTCTGTGGGTTTGCTGGGGCTGCCAGGACAATGTCCCATGGGCCGGGAGGCTTAAACAACAGAAATGTATTGTCTCACAGTCTTGGAAGCCAGAAGTCCAAGCTTAAAGTGTCAGCAGGTTAGTTCCTTCGGAAGCCTCCCTTCTTGGCGTCCGAAGGAATTAAGCTGCTGACATTTTCCCTGCACGCCTTCTCCCTGCATCCTCACGTGGTCATCCCTCTGGGTGCATCTGTGTCCCCTCATCTCCTCTTCTTTTTTTTTAAATTGCATTTTAGGTTTTGGGGTACATGTGCAGAACATGCAAGATAGTTGCATAGGTACACACATGGCAGTGTGTTTTGCTGCCTTCCTCCCCTTCACCCACATCTGGCATTTCTCCCCAGGCTATCCCTCCCCTGCTCCCCCCACCACTGTCCCTCCCCTATTCCCCCCAATAGACCCCAGTGTGTAGTACTCCCTTCCCTGTGTCCATGTGTTCTCATTGTTCATCACCCACCTATGAGTGAGAATATGCGGTATTTCATTTTCTGTTCTTGTGTCAGTTTGCTGAGAATGATGTTCTACAGATTCATCCATGTCCCTACAAAGGACACGAACTCATCATTTTTGATTGCTGCATAATATTCCATGGTGTATATATGCCACATTTTCCCAGTCCAGTCTATCATCGATGGGCATTTGGGCTTCTTATAAGGACACCAGGCATACTGAATTACGGCCTCATACATAGGACCTCATTTAATCTTATTACCTCTTCAAAAACCCTATCTCTAAATACAGCCACACTGTAAGCTACTGCAGGTGAGGACCTCAACATGTCAGCGAATCTGGGGGAACCCAGTCAGCCCACTGAGATGCACACCGTCCCTGCCTGCAGTGAGCTCCTGTGCAGAGGGGAAGGCACATGTGAGCAGAAGCACGTAGAGCACTGAGGCAGTGTGAGGTCAGGGAGGCTGCTGGGAGGAGGTGGCAAGGCAGCTGAGTGCTGAAGGGTGAGCACAGTTCAGGGGAGTCAGAAGGGAGGGCCTGAGCAAGGCCAGGAGAACCTGAATGAGTAGGAGCTCCATAAAGACAGGCAAGTGATGAGTGACTGAAGGAACCAGTGAGTGTCAGAGCAGGTGGAACGTGCCCCAGCCCAGAACACATGGGGATGTTTGTCTTATGACTTCGTCTATGATAGGAGTTGCTTCCTTTGTAGTTGCCTGGAGCTTGGGGCTGCTGGCAGTGTGGAATGGGAAACTGGCCCTGGCTTTGGAGGCGGGCTCCTCTCTGCTCCCCCTGAACTTCAGCTGTTGTCCCAAAATGTAGGTCTGATAGCTCCTCTGAGGACTGGACGATATCATGAATGTGAATGCACTTGGGAAAGTCCTGTGCATGTGTAACATGAGCTGAAGGTGAGGCAGGTGCTTTGGCTACCGGGAGCCCTGGTTAGCTGCCATCTGTGTTTGGGAGAGACCCATCCTCCCTCTTACTTTCTGTCCAGCTGTAGTTACATATTTGCATTGACCACCTAATTTCTGGCACCTTTTGAGTTTTCAATCCCAACAGAGAACTAACTATAAAACAATTTTTAATGAGATGAGGGGTCACCTGATCCAATCTGAGCTTTAGCAAAATCTGGTAAGGTCCCAGCTGTTACAGATGAGGAAACAGGGAGGGTACAGAGAAGGTAGTCAGAGCAGTGGGATGATGAGGAGGAAATGAGATGATGAAAATGCAGTCCCCATCAGGATGGCACAGGGGCAGAGGGGCCCTCCATGCACAGGGATGGGGCTGTCCCTGCCCCTCCTCTGCCCACCTCCTGCACTTCAGGCACCAAACATGCCCCACTGACAGTGTCACTCCCCCACACAGCAGGCATCTGTTCCTGCGGGCCCTGGCTCCTTGACCTCTCACCCCACATCCTTCTCAGTCTGCTCAGAAGCTGCCTCTTCCAGGGAATCTCAGATCCAGCTGAGATTGGTGCGATGCCTCCTCCATGCTGTCCTGAGAAATCCTCCACTGTTTCAGGTCATGTTATAATCGAGGATTTGCACATCAGAATGCCACTCTAGGCCCACCACTCAGTGAGGAAACCAGGCTGCATGGCTGAAATCCAGTTCAAGTAATAGCCACTTCTCAGGGGCATGCCTGACTCATCAATATGCAGAAGGACAAGTAAACTGAATGACAGATGCACTCAGTACACCCCAGCCTAACTCCTGAGGGGTGGTTTTCCTTTTGGGAAGTCTTGGTTCCCCACTTGGTTTGAGCGGCCACATTTCCACCACTGTGCACATCCAGGCTGGATGCTTCCACGTGCACTTCACATTCTAGGTTCCTGGCATGTCTGCCATACTCCACACCTTTTATTTTAGTGTATGCTTTTTACTAAACCTACTTTGCTGGCTTTTCAGTCTCTCTTTTGTGGACTGAACCCTACCTTGCCTCCTGGGCATCCTACATTCACCAAGCCTGCCCCTGGCTCTGGCCCAGCCTCTGCTCTGCTCTGATTCTGGGAGCAAACTGTCCTAGCCAAAACTGAAGGTGCTTCTCTGATCTCTGAGGCAGCATGGCCATGCAATGAATTGGTTCTCACAACGCCCTGGTGCCTTCTCAGTGTGGTCCTTGAGCCAGCCTGGGGCTGGCACACAGGACGTGTTCCCTCAGACAATGGTGAATGAGCAGGAGAGAGTAATGAGACCAAGAGGCGAATTCTTTTTCTTGCAAACCCACAGCCCTTGCCTTTGTTCTAGACTGCGAGATAGCCCGCGCTCATTTCCAGCATGCTGCTTGGGGCTGAGTGTTTTCTATCTGAGCTTCCGAAGAATTCTGCAGGACAGTCAGAGTGGGGTCAATCTTCCATTTTACAGTGGTAGAAGTGGCAGCTCAGAGAACAAAGTGACCTACCTGAGGACACACGGTTAAAAAGTGGAGGAGTCGGGGCAAAGCCCTACCCAGACTTCTGAGTCAAAGTCAGCCACCTCCCCATTCTGTCCCAAGCGTTAGGGAGGTAACCTAGGATAAGGGCAGTCACACTGCTCCAGGACTTGTTAAGAGAGAAAAATAAAAAGATGCTGAGAAAAAAAATCCGCCCCCTGGTGGTGATCCAGGAGAGGACAGATTTCCCCTTTTGGACTCTTTCGTTGCTGTAATAACTTAGGAGCAGGGAAAAAAAAAATGTTGCCCCATTTCCTGTTCAGGCATGATCAAATTGCCACACTTCCTGTCGGAAACTCCCGCCCTTCTTCCTGTGGACTCTGCCTCCTTATTCACGGAGATGCCTTGGCAGAGTCCGGGGTCCCTGGGCTGAGCTATCAGCTGGGTCACCAAGACCCGTGCCAAGTAAACAAAATATGAATTCCAAGGAACTGGGCCTAGTTTCCCTCACAGACGACACCAGCCATGCTGGGCCTCCAGGGCCAGGGAGGGCGCTGCCAGAGTGTGATTACCTGAGGAGCAGGGTGCGAGGTGGGAGGAGAAGAAAGGTAAATACGGACACCGGCTCTGCGTGGCTGGAGGGCTAGGGGAGGGCAGGCGGGGGTGGCAGCCGTGTGACAGCACTCGACCCCAGCCTGGCAGCATGTGGCTGGGAGGTCTGGGGCTTTGAGGCAGGGAGGGCCCATTTTGAGTGGCACTTCCCCAGCTGTGTGACTTTGGCATATGCTCTCCAAGCCCAGCTGACTGGGTCGACAGTGTCTCTGGTAGGCTGGCTCTGTACATGAAATGAGGTCATGGTAGAAGACTGCCGTGTCCCAAACCTGTGCGGTGGTGTCCCGCTTCTTACCCTCCCCAGGGCACGGCACAGGCAGTGGCACCATGGTCAACAGGCACACTCTGCCCCTGAGTGAGTGGGGAGCAGGTGGAGGGCACAGGCGGGCCACAGGGGCAGGGGGCTCCGGGAAGCACAGCTGAGGCAGTAGGAGACGCCCCCCACCTGCCCTTCACCAGCCTCTGGCAGGGTCACTTCACACCAGGTGCTCCCAATCCATGGGGTGCAGATGAGGGAGGAGTCTGTGTTCTCTAAGGTCATCAGGGCTGGGAGCAAAAAAGGCACAGGGCACAGAAACAATGCCCAGTGCAGCCCAGGCACTCAGAAGAAGTGGAATCTGTGCCGAGACTCAGAGGACGGGTTTAAAGAGAAAGGGTGATGGAGAACAGGTGTTTTGTCTGAAATGTGATTCTGTTCTATCGAGGATCCCCATTCAGCTCAAGCTCCTCTTACAGCAGAAAAATATTCTGGTCCCACATTTCACTTGGCAGCACCCATCCCCAAGGCTTATAAACACTCCCTCTCACCCCTCTATGTGATCAGCAGCCTCTACCAAGCACCTCCTCTGCAGCAGGCTCCTCAACAATATATGTGTCCAGTGCTGCTATTGAGATCCCATTTCACAGGCTGGCAAGCTGAGCCTCAGAAAAGCAAGTCACTTGCTCAGGCTCCTATAGCTGAGTGGTGGGGCCGTTCCTGGAGGTAAAGCTGATATCACTTGACTCAAAGCCCCAACGCTGTATCTCATGGCTGGTGGCACTAGAGGAGACACATGAGATGGGCAGAGCAGGGAACTTGCTATCAGAGATCCGTGTTCCCTTGCAGATGGGATTTGACTGATTCGGGTACCTGAACCGTGGACGCATCTGTCTTGTTCACTGCTGCATTCCCACAGCTTTGTCAGGGCCTGGCCTCTGCGAAACAGACACACACTCACAAATTTGTCAAATGATGGCAAAGAAAGTGCCTTCCGGAGCACCTGGTCCCGTCTACTTGGCCCATATTCCCTGCCTGGCTGAGGATGGCTGTCCCTCCTGCCCTGGCTCATGCCAGCTGGTCAGCCTCTGTCAGAGGCTCAGGGGTTTCTGTCCTGTGGCCCTGTTCTGGTGGTGGCCATCCTTAGATGGGCAGGACAACGCCAGGGCCAACGCCCTGTTCTCTGTGCCAAACCTTGCATATGTTTGCAGGTCCTTGTTCCCAGGCTTGGACCAGCCCCTGTAGGTTGACGCCTCAGCCTGGAATTATGTGCATGTGCGCACATCTGTGTGGCGGTCGGCAGCCTCAGGCCCCTGGACACTGCACTCAGGTGATGAGTCAGCAGGGGACAGGAGGTGCAGTGCAGTGGTGACTACAGGGGCACTGCAGCCAGGCCACCTGGACTCCAGTCCCCAACCCAGATAGCACCGGCTACGGTTTCAGGCCCCTCTTTCTTCGTCTGTAATACAGGAGAAAACAGCACTGATCTAGGGACTCAGGCAGTGCGCAGAAAGTGCTTAGACTCGCTCCTGGCTGACAGCGCTTGGAGTCTGGCTTTGCTTTTTTCTGTCCGGGTCAGACTCACCAAATTCAGCTAAAAGGATCCTATGCAACTGCTCAGACGACCTGCTGAAAACGTTAGGTCTGCGTTTCGGGGATCCTCACGGAACCTGGGAGGAAGGCAAGAGCGTGGCCGCTGGACCCGAGGGCGCCCGGCCTGCGCAGGCGGACCTGAACGAGAGCCCTGTCCGCAGGTCCCCAACTAGCGTCCCTTCCCTCCGTCTCTAACCTGGCCAAGGACAATGACTTCTCCCCGGGAAAGCCTGCCCCAGCTGAGGAGGGGAGGCCTTCCTAGGCCGTCCCTCTGCCCTGGCTGCCCGCCCAGTGCCGGCTCTGACGCGCCTTCCTCTTCCCCCAGGACTGGTCCTGCTCGCTCCTCGTGGCCTCTCTCACCGGCGCCTTCGGCTCCTCCTTCCTCTACGGCTACAACCTGTCGGTGGTGAACGCCCCCACCCCGGTGAGTGCGCGGCAAGCCCGGAAGAGGGCGCTGCGACCCCGCGGAAACCTTCGGGTGCGCACGGGCCCTGGGCTCCAGCGCCCCCTCCTGCAGCGCTCACGGCGCGGGACACCGCGGGGACAGAGACCAGCCCCCGCTCGGGGGAGAGGGGAGACACAGAAACAGTGTTGACACGGGGACCGGGGGCGCGGGGGGATGCCAGTTCTTGCGGCTGGAGGATGGGTGTCCTGGGAGAACGTTGGGAGACCAGATGAAGGGAGTTTCGGAAGTCCCGGGGGATCCTCTGGCCCCTAATGTCAGGGAAAGGAGCAGGAGGGGCCTTATGCATGGCAACTGGGACATTTTCTTGATTTGTTTTGTTGTTGTTGTTGATATTTATTTATCTATCTATCTTTGAGACGGAGTCTTACTCTGTCACCAGGCTGGAGTGAAGTGAAGTGAAGTGGCAAGATCTCAGCCGATTGCAACCTCCACCTCCTGGGTTCAAATGATTCTCCTGCCTCAGCTTCTCCAGTAACTGGGATTACAGCCGCCTGTCACCCTGCCCGGCTGATTTTTGTATTTTTAGGATAGATGGGGTTTCGCCATGTTGGCCAGGCTGGTCTGGAACTCCTGACCACAAGCGATCTGCCCCCCTTGGCCTCCAAAAGTGCTGGGATTATAGGCTTGAGCCACTGTGCCTGGCCTGTTTTTGTTGACTTTAAATTACAACCAGAGGCCACTTGCGTGTCTGCTGGATAAGACCCATTTTCGGCTTTTGTTTCACTCTGAAGTAAGATCCAGGTGCAATTCCCCCAGGCCCTCTTCACGGTGTGCCTCTGGTTTGCAGTTAAAGGTTGGGTCCCACCTACCTGGGCTGTAAGGTTTAGGTGCCATCCCATAGGTACTGGCTTTGGCTTTGACCTACCACCACCCACGGGTAAGGCAGGACGGAGGTGTGAGGGAAGCTTTCCTGCAAGAAGTGATGCCTGACCAAGTTTTGGAGGTGGAGCGATAGATGGAAGCCTGGGATGTAGGACGCATCCGGGGAAATGTGGGGAGCTCCAGGTTCTTGGAGCACAGGCTGTTTTGGGGACGGACAGGAATCAGACCAAGGACAGCCCTGGGTGCCTTCCAGGCTTTTCTTGCTTGGGAGTCCAGCATCCTTGTGTATAAAACGCAGGGGAAGCCTGGGACAGTGAGTCTCAAAGGAGCCCTGGGATTTTGCAGAGGTGCCTCAGGGATCTAAGCACTATTTGTGCAGGTCAGTTCTGTTCTATTTTTTTTTTTTTTAATTGTACTTTAAGTTCTGGGGTACATGTGCAGATCTTGCAGGATTGTTGCATAGATGCACACATGCCATGGTCTGTCTCCATCCCCCTGTCACCTACATCAGTCATTTCTCCCAATGTTACACCTCTCCAACTTCCCCACCCCCCGCTGTTCCTCCCCCAGCCCCCTAGCCCCCAATAGACCCCAGCATGTGATGCTCCCCTCCCTGTGTCCCTGTGTTCTCATTGTTCATCACCAGCCTATAAGTGAAAACATGTGGTGTTTGGTTTTCTGTTCTTGTGTCAGTTTGCTGAGAATGATGGTTTCCAGATTCATCCATGTCCCTACAAAGGACATGAACTCATCCTTTTTTATGGCTGCATAGAATTCCATGGTGTATATGTGCTACATTTTCTTTGTCCAGTCTATCATTGATGGGCATTTGGGTTATTTCCAGGTCTTTGCTATTGTAAACAGTGCCACAATGAACATACGTGTTCATGTGTCTTTATGATACAACAATTTATAATCCTTTGGGTATATACCCAGTAATGGGATTGCTGGGTCAAATGGTATATCTAGATCCTTGAGGAATTGCCACACTGTCTTCCACAATGGTTGAACTAATTTACGCCAACAGTGTAAAAGTGTTCCTATTTCTCCACATCCTCTCCAGCATCTGTTGTCTCCAGATTTTTTAATGATCACCATTCTAACTGGTGTGAGATGGTATCTCAATGTGGTTTTGATTTGCATTTCTCTGATGATCAGCAGTTTTTCATATGTTTCTTGGCCTCATAAATGTCTTCTTTTGAAAAATGTCTGTTCATATCCTTCGCCCACTTTTGAATCAGTTTGTTTTTTTTCTTGTAAATCTGCTTTAGTTTTTTTATAGATTCTGGATATTAGCCCTTTGTCAGATGGGTAGATTGCAAAAATTTTTTCCCATTCTGTTGGTTGCCAGTTCACTCTAATGAGTGTTTCTTTTGCTGTGCTGAAACTCTTAAGTTTAATTAGGTCCCATTCATCTATTTTGGCTTTTGTTGCCATTGCTTTTGGTGTTTTAGTCATGAAGTCCTTGCCTATGCCTATGTCCTGAATGGTATTGCCTAGGTAATCTTCTAGGGTTTTTATGGTGTTATGTCTTATGTTTAAATCTAAAATCAACATCTGGAGTTGATTTTAGAGTAAAGTGTGAGGAATGGGTCCAGTTTCAACTTTCTGCACATGGCTAGCCAGGTTTCCTTACACCATTTATTAAACAAGGAATCCTTTCCCCATTGCTTGTTTTTGTCAGGTTTGTCAAAGATCAGTTGGTTTTAGGTGTGTGGCGTTACTTCCAAGGCCTCTGTTCTTTTCCATTGGTCTATATCTCTGTTTTGATACCAGTACCATGCTGTTTTGATTACTGTAGCCTTGTAGTATAGTTTGAAGTCAGGTAGGCTGATGCCTCCAGCTTTGTTCTTTTTGCTTAGGATTGTGTTGGCTATTGGGCTCTCTTTTGGTTCCATATGAAGTTTAAAGTGGTTTTTTCCAGTTCTGTGAAAAAGGTCAATGGTAGCTTGATGAAGATAGCATTGAATCTATAAATTACTTTGGGCCAGTATGACCATTTTCACGATATTGATTCTTTCTAACCATGAGCATGGACTGTTTTTTCATCTGTTTGTGTCCTCTCTTATTTCCTTGAGCAGTGGTTTGTAGTTCTCCTTGAAGAGGTACTTCACATCCTTTGCTAGCTGTATTCCTAGGTACTTTATTCTCTTTGTAGCAATTGTGAATGGGAGTTCTGTTTTTAAAAAACGCTGTTAATTCTTTGACAGTTTTGAGTTCTGTTGCTAAAAACAGTTTGAAAACAGGGGGCTAGCTGGCTTCCAGAGGCACTAGCAGCAGTCAGTGATCTTTTGTCATTGTGATGTCATCCCAAGATGGGGATCTGGATTGTCCATATTTAGCTTAGAAAGAGGACTGGAAATTTGGACTCTCGTTTCATCTTGAAAGTTCATCAAAACATCCAGCAGAGAGCGGGGAGAACCTTTGCACTCACGGCTTGTGGAGCAGAGATATGAGAAATTTACACCTGGCATAGGATGATATGGGTTCAAGCAGGGATCGTGAACATGAGGAAGGAGCAAGCCCGTTGCTCACTCATTCATTCAGCAAGCATTAAGAGTCTATAATGTGTCCAGCTCCAGGGATCAGGGATGGCAACCTGGAGGAAGTGGTATTTGAGCTGAGCCTTGAGGGATGTGTAGGATTTCCACGGGTGTCAGAGGGAGGTGGGGAGCTGAAGCACACACACCAAGGCCTGGCTGGGCCCACATGGTAGCATATTAGGAAGTTAGTAGAGTGTGATGTGCCAGTGCCTGGGGGAATGGGAGCTGGGGTCTTCAGCAATGGACATTTATTTTCCCATCTTTCTGCAACCTGGAAATCCAAAATCAAAGTGCCAGTGGATTCGCTGTCTGGTGTACCTTCCTTCTGCAGATGGCCTCTTTCTCACTGTCTGTACATGGCAGAGAAGAAGAGTTCAAGAGAGCAATACACTCATCCCACCATGAGGCCGCCCCCATGACCTCCGCTAACGCCAGTAACCTCCCACAGGCCTCATCTCCAAATACCATCTCTTCAGGGGTTAGGGCTTCAACATGCCCTATCATTGCAACAAAAATCATGCAACATTTTTGGAGGGGACACAATTCAGTTCAAGGTAGCTAATTCTTGATATGACCTTCATTTCATAAACAAGGAAACAGAGGCTCAGCGTTTAAGCAGCTTGCCCAGGATCACACAGCCGGGAGGTAACAGAGGTGGAGTCCAAACCCAGGTCTTTCTAAACCCAAGACCCATGCAGTGCCCTCTGCCCCTCTTTCCTTCCCTGACCACTATTGGCAGGTGGCAAAAGTCCAGCCATGAGGGAGTGTGACTTGATCAACAAAGGCAAAGAGGAACAAGGGGAGATGAGAGGAGCCACAGCCAGCCCAGGGCTGCCTGCCTGCCCATCTGCCAACCAAAGGCAATGCAAGGCTTCCCTACAACAACCCTAGGGCCTCAAGAACAAGGTGGATGCTGCTGTGATGTGTTACAAGTGTGAAGCTGTGATTGTCTGAATCCTGTTCTGACCCCTCCCTCCCTCAGGTGCTCGCAGAGCAATCCTCTTAAAGGACCGGATCCAACGGAGAAAACAAAGACAGCTGTATTACTAGCTAGAACAACCCCCAAACTCTTCCCTTCCCTATGGGGTTTCGGGTCATGTAGCCTCTTCTCTGCTCTGCCTAACGGTCCTTATGTTTCGTGTTTACTCGTGTCGCCTTGTGAGAAGAGGGGCAGCTGTTCAGGCGATACTTCAGCGCCCTTCCCTGGGTGTTGCCCTTGTTGTGTCATGTGGTTAGGGGCTGGGGTAGAAAGATGAAAAGGACACATGTCCGTGTCCTCCAGGTGCCCCCAGACCAGCAGGAGTGACAGATGCTCAACAGATAATCAGCAGACAGTGAGGCAGGCTCCATGGAGCCCCAGGACAGCTAAAGGTTTATTCTACCTGGGGAGGCCAGCGGGGCCTCACTGGGCTCGAAAGAGAGAGCTCAAGGCTTTCTGGGAACAGTGGAGACCTAAGGGTAGCTGGATGTGGGGTCCAAGGGAGTGGGGAGGTAGAGGCCGGAAAGGTTGCAGAGGCCAGGCCAGGAGCACGATCAAGGACCACACAGGCTATGAGCAGCCTGAGGGCCAAGGTTCTCCCTGGGAGGTCCTCC